AAAAAAGGATTCAAATACATACTTTGATACAGAGGATTTTAAAGAATAATATTCAATTGAAGCCGGAACTTTTCCTTCTAGGATTCATGGATAAACAGTTAGAAAAAAGCCATGGAAGATTATTTCAATATATGATTACTGTGGCGAGATTACTATATGCATAGAGATCGAAAGATTCGACATTACCCATTATGGAGGAATGGTTGAAGTTGACAGATTTTTACTGAAATGGATAAATTGACTTCTTTGATTAGAGAAAAGACACTAATTTATTGGTGACTGGAAGCCTTATGGGCTTTTTGTGTAAAAATGAAAAAAATGAATGTGACTTATGGTTTTGATGATTAGGATATATTATAGAAAGAAGAGTAATACGATGTAATATTAGAGAGGTTAAAATATATTTGTACTTATAATTGCTGTGAAGAATATCAGAAAACACTTCTTTATATCTTTTTTTATTTTTTTATTTTTCAACTTTTTTTCTTTTCTTGCACTTTTTTCTTTTTTTCTTTTTCCTTTTTCTTCCTTACTTTATATTAGTTTGTATTAGTTTTTATCTTCTTGTTTAAAAGCTTTAATAAAAATTACTTTTAAAAAATCTCCAGTGTCAGAGTATCTGGTACTATGATGTTTAGCACAATGTCTTTGCGGAAGTATTTCCTTTGATAGCTTCAAGAATACTTTAGACTAGGATCCTGCAATAATTTGGCAAGAGTAAGCAGTAATCTGACCTGTTACAATAGAATCTAATCAGATTTAATATTGGGCATTGTTTCATACGTGGTTTCTTTGAAGTTCGGTCATTTTGGTTTTATGAGAAAGCCTGCAGCATGCTCTTAATATTGTGGAGTCCTTGGGTAACCTTCACTTATGTGGGTGATGATTGCTGGTGAGGTGATCTTTGGTCTTTTGTCTCTTTTGAAGGTAAGCAAAGGTTACCACCAGTCACACAATCAAGCAGTAAACATATGCCAATCAAGGAACTACCAGAGGAGCAAAACAAAACTCCCACCCCTACCAGCACTGGCAAGGCAGGCCACAGCACATAAACAGAGAGCAAACCCCATCCCATTCTAGCACTGAAGATGTAACCTAGCTGGGGAATGAAACGTTTGCAAGA